CCAGGAAATTGGACTTAAAAAGCCCCAAGCCACATACAGTCACTCAGATATTAACAAGGCTGTACCAAGTGGAAAGCTTTTGAGCACCTGCTTTAATGAAAATAATTATTATTAGCAAACCTATTTGTGTCAAAAACTCCTCCCTGAATGCAGTTTTTATTGAGTAAGATGAGCACCCCCCAGCCCAGGTCTTGTTATTAATGTGCCTTCTTAACTGTACAGCTCTCATCGGGGGTGGGCAGTAGGAGACACTGGCCGTTGGTCTGCCCGGCAATCATTTCCGCTTTGTTCTGATACACAGCTTAGGAACTTGCATGTAGGTTTGTCTTTGGCTTAGGTACTCATGCAACCTGTTGATTCAAGTGTTGATAGTAAGTTTGCTCCGAGTTCACAAATGGGAGCTATTCCTCCAATAGATAGTAGCTCGCTGTCGTCCAAGGCACATCCCTGCTCCAGAACCCTGTCCGCAGCTCCTCTGTCGACTTTAGAGCATCCTGATCCAGTGTGGATGCTCCAAACACAACCACACTCCTAGTTTAAGAGGCTTGAGCATTAGGGCAGCTTTTACCTGCCTTGAACTTTCTTTTTTTTTCCTCTGTTCTGCTTTTATGATTATATTATTATTAATTATTATACTTTAAGTTCTGGGTCCATGTGCAGATCATGCAGGATTGTTACATAGGTATACACATGCCATGATGGTTTGCTGTATCCATCCCCCCATCATCTACATTAGGTATTTCTCCTAAAGTTATTCCTTCCCAATCCCCTCCACCCCTGCTATCCCTCCACTAGCTGTCCCACCCCAAACAGGTCCTGGTGTGTGATGCTCCCCTCCCTGTGTCCATGTGTTCTCATTGTTCAACACCCACTTATGAGTAAGAACATGCGGTGTTTGGTTTTCTGTTCTTGTGTCAGTTTGCTGAGAACGGTGGTTTTGAGCCCTCTCATTCTGTCTCTCTGAACACCGACAGCTTTCACATTTGCCCCATATGTGGGTCAGGGCAACGTTCTCCAAAATGGTTATGCTGCCTCCAAAATCTGAAGAGGCATACCAAACACACACCTCTTTCTTATCAGTAAGAGGGTCAAATTCAATAACCTCTCAGTCCTCTTACAGGGGATATCCCAGCATGTCCCAAGCCATCAGACCCCTACAAACTTCACTGATATGGCAGCCTCCCAAATATTACTGGAGTTTCGCTCCCATGCTCTGTCTCACTTATGAATTACTAAGGCATTTAGGGTACTTGCTACTTTTGGTTTTATCGTATTCAATTCACAGATTGTCATCAATACTATGGATTAGTGTAGCAGTGTGTGAAATGTTGAAATGTTCAAGGTCTCTGTGGAATATATGATAACAAACAGCTAAAAGTTCACATAGCCACGGGGCGAGACGAGGAATGAGAACCCCTGTTTCTGCTTTCTGAAGATGAACTGATTTTGATCTTCCTTATTGATGGCTACCAAGAAGAAAGCAATTTGGCTTCTAGGTAATTACCTAAGAGAAATGAAAACAGGGAACTCTATAGAGGCAGAACTTGGAATAGTAGTAAACCTTTCTAAAACTGACCATGGTGATGGCTGCACATATATATGGAATATATTGAAAGCCACTGAGTTGTACACTTCAAGTGGATAAATTATATGTGAATTGTATCTTCACAGAGCTGGTCTAAACAAAGAAGGAGAAAGAGGAGGGAGGGGGGAGGAGGAGATAGAAGAAAAAGGAAAAGAAGAAGAAAAATTTGGAAGTCAGTAACCATGTATCAAATGGCAGAGGCTGTGCTGGTCCACTCCAGTGAACATGTCCCCCAGTAAGACCCATAGCCAGCATGGCAGCTGGATTGAGGGTCCAACCTAGGTAACTAATCATTGTCTACTAACACCTGTCATGATGCATCCTGTTTTTCCAGAAACCTGGCTGGCAAATTAATTGGGCATATGATTGAAACCACCATCCAGCATCCTTAATTTTTGATGATATTAATCTCTGCAATGATTCCAAGCATGAGTGGGTTTCAGAAGCTTCCCCTGGTCCCTTTTTACCATAAAGGCCCTTACCTCACTGTATTAGGCCGTTCTTACACTGCTATAAAGAAATACCTGAGACTGAGTGATTTATAAGGAAAGATATTTCATTGGCTCCCAGCTCTGCAGGCTGTACAGGCAGCATCTGCTTCTGGGGAGGCCTCGGGAATCTTCCACTCATGACAGAAGGCAAAGTGGGAGCAGGGACATCACATGGTGAGAATGGGAGCAAGAGAGAAAGAGAAAAGGGGCGTGGGGGGGACACACGCTTTTAGATGACAAGATCTCAAGTGAACTCAGAGCACGAGCCCACTTTTCACCAAGTCGTTGATCCAAGCTATTCAGGACGGATCGGCCCCGTGATCCTGATGCCTCCCACCAGACCCCACCTCCAACACTGGGGATCACAGTTCAACATTTGGCAGGGACAACACGCATTCAACCCATTTCACTCACAGATCAGGAAACTAACCTTAGGGCTCACTCTGCTGCTAAGTCTATCCCAACTATAGAATCAGAAATGATCAAGAGATCATACGGATCAATTCAGATTACTGTAGTTCCCACTCATAAATTACTCAATAGTGATGAAATATTGTCATATCTTCACTGGAGTTTGTGCTACCTATTATTATTACACTGATTTCTTTTTTGTTGTTTTTATAACGTATTTTACTTTTCTTGGCAGATCTGGCACACAGCAGGAATCTAATGAGTGACAGCTAAGAAGACAATGGGTAGGACGGAGGAATGCTGTGATTGTTCATCTCACCACCAACAGTGGGTGTCTACAGGATGTTCATGGTGTAGTTCGATCCAGTTCAGTTCAGTTACTAAGGAGCAATCAACGTATCCCACAAACGGTGTTAGTTTCGTGCAAAAGTAATTGCGGTTCTGTCCTTAAAAACAATGGCAAAAACCACAATTACTTTTTGGGTGTTGCTTTTTGTTTTGTTTTGGCAGAGCGTCGCCCTGTCACCCAGGCCAGAATGCAGTGCACAATCTTGGCTCACTGCAACCTCTGCATCCCAGGTTCCAGGGATTCTCCTGCCTAGCTGGGATTACAGGCACACACCACCGTGCCTGGCTAATTTTTGTATTTTTAGTAGAGACAGGATTTTTCCATGTTGGCCAGGCTAATTTCAAACTCCGGACCTTAGGTGATCCGCCCACCTCAGCCTCCCAAAGTGCTGGGATTACAGGCGTGAGCCACCGTGCCTGGCCCACGTTTACTTTTGCACCAACCTAATACTAGCATGTTGGTAACCAAACCAACTATTTCAAAACCTTACCCATCTAAAACAGAATTAACATTCACCAAAACGTCAGCATATTCTGTCTTCCACAAGGTTTACTTTATGGCTCCAGGTTTTTATCTCTGCATTAAACTCATATTCACACTAAACAGACATTAATAATAACAGAAGTGTAATTCTTTATTCCTTCTAGGCAGGTTTGTATCCAAGGAAAGAAAATTCTTAACTAGGATAGTTCCCCCCAGGGATATATGTTTGCAAAGTAATCATTTCAAGCAATGCTTAGGATGCGTTTGAACTTCATGTTTATATCACGCAGATTTCTGCCTGGTCTGCCTTCAGTGGTTGTAAACTTCAACTGATCATTGAATTGAGTGGTGCATCTTTCCATATCACAGGATGTAGAATCCCAAGTAGACAGAATCGAGAGAGGGGAACGAGAACTGCCCGACTAAAGAGACACAGGGAAGAGGTTTGTATATCCAGAGACGGAAACTGGGAGGGAAATAGGAGCCTCACGTGAAGCAGGCAGCTCCATCTCCGCTCCAGCCCGTCAGTCTCACCTGACACACTGTGTCACGCTTGTGCCCTCGAGTAGCACATGCTGAGATGGTGGTAGGAGTGACAGAGATTTATGGAGGGGTGAGGAGGGGAGAGTGCCTGTGAAAGATAAAGAGAGGAAGAAAGATGGAATATCATCTCATACTGTGGAACGGCACTGACAAAGTCTCTGCAAACTCAATGGGAGCTTCAGGGCAAAAATCACCCACTGGAGGTCCTGGGCAGAAGTGGTGAGCCTCCACTCTCACTGTGCACTCAGCAATGGCCCGGGGCCCCTCAGGTTAAGCCCAGCCTCATTTGAAAGTGAGGTGGACTCTGAAGGTGCTGAGAGTGGGACGTCGTGAGTTGCCTGCACTTCTTGCTGAACAAATTCTCTGTGATAGCTGAGGTCTGTGTGCGCTTCTCATCGTGGTGGCTGAGGTCTGTGTGGCGTTCTCCTCTGTGGTGGCTGAGGTCTGTGTGTGGGGTTCTC